CACCTTTTTCCACGCCCCCCCCCAACACTTGTGTGTGGGAAACACTCGTGTTTTGCACGACTGCAGATCTCACTGCCTGCCAGCCATGCTACTCTACTACGGGAGCTCTGCCTACAGCACGCAGTACGTTCGGGATCCGTATTTATGCACGGGGCTGGGCAGCACTATGAATTTCTGCTGGGAGAACAACTTTCATCACTTCAGAAAAAGCCTGAAAGAGGATGCACTAATACAGGTACACAACTAGTGCTATATTCTCTTTCCTAGCCAAGAAGAGCATCTAAGGATGAGCACATCAGTAGCAGTCCAGCTGCTCAGAGCTTGGCTGCTGGTATGGTTCAGGTAGTGCAACTTTGTGTGCAAGCGAATCCCAGTTCTGTGTGAGGTTCTTCCTGCTGTGGGGGGCACAAATGAGAACAGGATTCATGGGAAGAAATGTTATTTTGCACTCCTGCAAATGCTGATGTGTCCATACCCATGGTTATTTCCAGTAGTGCATCTGGAAGATTTTATTTCCCAGCAATGTTCACATATTATAGTGAAGACCAGGAGCCCTTCTCTGGAAAAAAATAAATAGAAATGCCCACAACCCATTGTAAGCCTCCTGTCAAAGGAAATGCAAACAGTGAGTGCCATTCTTTCCTATGTCTCTTCAGAAAAGCAGTTTAAACTTTTCCTGCTCTAGCGAGGTAGACTCAATTGGAGGAAGCAGAAAGAGAACAGATTGCTATGGGTACGTGGGCCCACACCCAGCCTTGCTAATAGTCACCAAGGAACAGTCGTGCTGCTCCACGAGCAAACCAGCTCCAAATAAAGCTTGCCAAGGCTTTCCTGACTCCATCCCTGGAGATTCCCCCCGAAGCCTGCCTGATCACATCATCAGGGAGCGCTGCTCTCCAGGAACATTCCCTCGTGCTGGTGTGCATGAGCTGTTACTTCTCACTTGCAACGCTACCCCAATTCTTGCTCTTATTAACGCTGAGATCCTTCTTAGTCATTTCCCCCCTCCCAGTTTGACCATGTTTAGTCCTTTTTAACCTTTCTGTGTAGATCAATCCTTCTCAGTGCTATGAATAAATAAAAGCCTTCTGTTCTCATCAACAAAATGGTCTTTTAACAGTTGCAAGAACAACATAGCAATCACTTGGAAAAAAAACCAAAACAAAACCAGCTTATATTTGATGCATTTGAAAATCTCTGCTCCAGCTATCTTCTACTTTTTAAAAATAAGTGCTTCATTAAATAGACAAAACAGTGAGAAAATTAATGATGGGGAGCACAAGCAGCAGTAGGTGTCTGAGAGGGACCTGCTAATCCATCAGAAATGCTCACCACACACAAAGTAGCGGCAGGGCTGAAAAAGAAAGCTGAACTTCAGTCAGAAACATCTAAGGAATATGAATAAGCTGTTAGAGCTGCAACCTTTCCCTCTCCTTTGATCTGATGTTCCACATAACTTGAGAGTGAGAAATTCAACAGCTTCAAAGAGGGTCAAAGAGTTGGAGGTCTCTGTCTACCAGGACAGGTAGAGGTTTTATTCCACCTGGAGAGAGAGGGAGGTTGGAGGGGCTGTCCTCAAGCAAATCTGAGGACTAGGAACTGCTGCCGCATTAGGGCTAAGTATTTCACCTTCCTCATCTTCACCTAAGAGAGCCATGTTACCTGTAAGTAACCACGTTACCACGTCCAAGTGAAAAAGAGGGCCAGTGCCACTACTGTTAAAAAGTGTTAAGAGAGAAATAAATACATTTTTGTGGCCCTTACATCTTGGAAATGCTTTTGTAACTGCTATTAGTCGACATGTACTTTTGAAGGTGAAATTGCAGTTGTTCTGGGCTCTAGCCATGTAATGCAACCATAGAAAATAAGATCCCAGCAAATGAGATGTTATAGGAAGAGAGATGAGGATAGCTGGAACATCATGTGCTTCACCAACTGAAAATGCTTGGTATGAGAAAACAAAGCCACATTCTCTATCCTTTATTCTCATTTTCCTTGGCGCTCAGTTTTACAGATCCCTAAAAATACTGCGTTATAACTAAAGGATCTGCAATCTGCCTGTGACTGACTGAAGAATTACAATATCACTCCAGTTAGATGAATCTCCCACGAGTATTCCTTCGAACAGGGCTTTCCTAAATTGATTGCCAATAACCTAGTATGTTTGTGTGTCTCTTTTTTCTGTCATCAGAATGTTGCCATAATAAAATGATAGTAATATAGAAAGAAAATAGAAAAAATACCTAAAGCTTGCAGAAATGCATAGCAAGGTCATCCCAGCAGCCCTAACTCTTCCTTCATGAAGCTGCACACCAAATAAACCCAGAAATCAGGGGAAATAAGTTACCTGCCTATTAAAAACACCATATAAGAGACCACAGAAAAAAATGCTGTATTGCAAAGAAATACCATTTTGCTTTTTCATAGGACTGATATAAACCAAAGCAATTTAATTATATTAGTTGTAAGGTAGGGTTAAGAGGTCTTTTGGAATTAAATTTTCACCACCACTGTGGAAAATTTCTAATACATATCTATGAGGTCCAGCAGTCTTGGAGTTACTATGAAATATTCCAAAGAGTAAATGTACGAATCCTGACATACAAAGAGAACTGAGCCAGTGATACCTTATACCGGGCAATAGTAAAACACAAATTTGGGTGAATACTGTTATTTTGTGAAGTGCCAACCTTGCACGACAGGAAACAGCGGTGCAGAGCAGCCTTCGGCAAGATTTAGAGCCAGTGCATAAGCTCCTACCGAGTCAGCAATATAAATGGAAATTATTTTTCCTTCTTTTGACTGAAGGATAGACACAATATAAATCAGTCAAGTCACGCATACTACAGCCCTAGTAACTTCCCAACTCATTTGGGAAATCATGCTAGCCACGCTGTGGAACTGCATTAATAATCTCATGGATAATGTGTCTATATTGGGAATTTTATCCATGAGAAAACCAGAATCAGAACAAATGTCCAGGTCAGGAAATCTACACAAAGCTCGTAAGACCAAGAGCCACTGTAAGACATGGGGAACAGAAAGCAATTGTTTTGCTAACACAATTGAATAATTAATATTACCCAAAGATATCCAAAGGATGGGACACAAAGGGGGAACACACTGTTGAAGTGATTTGGAATAGCTAAATGGTGGAGGATAGCTATAAACTTCCCAGTCCGATCTGAGCAAATTTGGCAATGGAGGTGTTTATGTCCTTCAGCTCTTGCTGACATCCAGCTCGGGCCGTAACCTGTATTCCATCAAACACAGTTTATCCTCACCGCTTACCTCTTTAGGTGCAAAGATTATTTTACGGAGCCTAAAATATCTTAATTGTCTTTCTATCTTACAGTGAATCCAGGCTCAGTTAAATTAGCTCTTTGTGTTCTGCTTTCGGGTCCCTGTTTACGTTCTCCTCATTACTGATGAAGAAAAAACAAACTGAATTTACAAAGAAAACTGTAGGTTTGACGTTGAAATCGTTAATTGGCCTGAGCAACCAGATTTGTATTAAATGAAGTGAAGCAATTAATCCAGCAACATCAGTCTATAGAAAAAAAACCCCATGAAATATTTACGATTCTGCAGTCAAAAAGATATCCAAGGAGAAAGAGAGCAGATAACTTTCTCTCTATACAGCACAAAAAATGCCTGACAGAAACCTTCACCCCAAAGGCCCCTCTCCATCAACAGAAGAGGCATTCTCTGTATCAAATCCATGCGATAAATACAATGTTTTATCATTTCTTCTAGCTTTGTTGCTTCAAATATTGTTATTTTAACTCTACTTCTTAAAACCTTTATCAAGTTTTAAGGGAATGAGGAACTAAGGCACGACGTTAAGCATGCACAGCGAGCAACCGCAGTCTCTTGTGGGCCTACGGTGACTCTGAACAAATCGCTTGTGCGTCTTGGAGTTCAGTAACTTTTTGCGTATATTGTCTGGGGTCTACTAACAGCAGCTGCGGAGTGGACAGCACGTGGCCTGTTCCATCACCTTCCTCGTTAACTGTATGCCATGCAGATAAACAGAGAGGGATGGAGATGCTTTCAGCTGGGGTTACTGCGGACTCCTGCTAGCCTACGTCCAACTCAGGAGGAAGTATAGAGAAATGAATGAATCGACACTTAGAAATATTGTACACAGTAGGGAGGAAGAGACTCATGTGGTCAGAAATGATACTTCTGCATGGGTCAACTGTCTTTGTAAAGCCAGCCCTGAATATGGCATGTGATCGATTGTCCAGAACAATCACATGGTTTTTATTTATTTTCTTTGCAAGCTGTCTTGAGGTCTAGGTATTCTCCTTTTCAGAGAAAATATAGGGTTAACTTTTGCACATCAAATGCCGTGCTGTGACTGAAAGGGAGTCATGAGAGCAAGTGCAAGAGGAAGCCTTGGTCATCCGGCTTCAGTAAGGTTTTGCCTTTCCTCTGGCAGCCTAAATGGTGCAATGTCTCACGTGCTCTAACTTCTACCACATTCAGGATCTTCAAGCTCAAATTAAGCAGTCCTGTCTTGGAGGAGATCTAGGGCCAGGTCTGAGTCTCAGCCCCAGGCAAGTAAATTGCAGTATACTTCCCAAGGTACTGCAGTATATTTTCCACTGTCAGTGGAGGATCTGCCAGAAGGAAATCAGATTTACACTAAGAGAGACTCATCCCATTTCAACCTGTCAGCTCAGAATTTGGCCTTGCCTTTTGTCCACTGACCTCACCCCAAGAGACAGGTGAAAGCGAAATAATCCCTTAGGCAGAGGTTAAAATAGCACCAGCAGTAATATCAATGACAAGGCTGAGGAAAACTCAAGGAGCAGGGAGAGCTTTTTATAGATTCAATACCAGATCTTTACAAAGCAACAGATGATCCCTTTCTCATTTATGCTGAAGTGTAAATATTTTATTAACTCTTCTCTCACTGCTGAGTAGCTTTAATGGCATTTGCTTCAGTAAAGTCCTGAGCTGCTGTAAATCAAGTACTGTTATAGGCTACTCACCATGGTCATGGGCAAAAACAAACAAGTTAAGTCCTGTCAGCCTCTGGGCCAAGTCATCATAGCGACCGCAGTGTTCCCCAGCGCCATGAGCGATAAACACGAGGGCCCTAAATGGAGCATTAAGGTATAAATCATTAACTTGGCAATAAACCCACAAAGGCTTCAGAGCTGCAAGTAAAACCAGCATATTCAACTTAGCAACAGCACTTCAGACATCGGCAAATACAAGGCAAGTATATAATGGCTGAGGTGGGTTTTAACAGAGGAGAACCGATTGCCATCCTGGCCTGCCATCAACCTGGTCTTCACCAGGTGTTAGGAGGACAGACCGCATGGAAGTCAGCTGCTCATGGGACAGACGTGGCTCTTTCCCATTTGTCTGCCACCAAGGTCTGCTGCAAGTCGAAGATGCAGATGGGCATCAATCAGCATGAACCGTTGAGGTGGATAACTCCGGCTTGGGCTTGAGGCATCTACTCTGCTCCTATAGTGGGAGTGTTGTCTTTGATTTCATTTAGGGTTGGTATTTCCCTGTGATTTCAAATAGAAATACTGTCCTTAACTTTATACCTTACAACACTGTCTGATGCTACAGAGCACTCTTAGAGATGAAATTTCAGCTAAAGAATGGGTCTCAAGCAGAGTCCAGAACTTTGGTTGGAGTTTGGAATTTTATCTTTTTACCCCAATTCTGGTAATTTTAGCATTCCAGTTTCTGCCCCAAAACAGTTGCTTCACATTGGTGATTAAAGTGACTTTTACGTAGCCACCGTATGACTACAGGCAGGGATCATAAAAAACATCAGTCCAATAGACATTTCTTTTTGAAAGACATGCAAATACGTATCTTCAGAGATTCCAGTTTTACCAGTTATGCTTTAATTCTACTGGAATGGCATCAAGTAAGAGTGGTTGAAGTTGAGCGAATCTTGCCATGGGCAAAGTTTGCATAGAATTAGTCTAGAACTATAGCAGAAGTAGCAATGAAATTCTTGCTGAATTCGACAGGTGACTATTTAAAATCCAACTTTAGCAACATAAACACAACTTGTTTGTTTAAAAGTACCATCTGTCATTGCAACATCAGCAACCACAAAACAGTATGAAGGCTACAAGTTAGACATTTTAGGTACATTAACAGTGAAATACTAAATGAACTGACAACATAAAATAATTACAGCACTTTTCAGCTAGTGAATTCCTGAACTTTATTTTGATTGAGGTTTTGAATACATTTTTAGACAGTGTATTCACTGCAATAACTGTCTTTGATCTTAATATATTTAAACTTAAAAAAGATGTTGGATGATGTAGAAACTCCTGCTCTAGCTCTTTGAGTAGCACCTGCTTCACAGTATTTGTTCATGCGAGACAATTTGAAAGAGCATCCATAGAAACCAGAAAGATTTTAAAGAGCATACAGCAAACACAAAAGCAGCAATGCAAAGATGCTCTGGTATCTGTCTAATACTAATTAGCAAGGGTGAGGTTAGGTCATGTAGCGTATTTAACTTGCTGCGCCTTACAAATGTTCTTTAGTATCACTGAAGGTTTCAAACAATTAGTGTGGAGCAGTCATTTCTTCCCTTGTCATCTTTCCCAGTCAATAGATTTGTCAAGTTATCAATGCACTTGCCAGACAGTCTGATTTTCAGAGGGCAGGGTCTATTATTACAGCTCCAAATACTGAAGAAATGGAGAGATGCTCATTCCACAGCAGAGAATATTAACTTTCTGCAGCAGAGGCATCATGGCTTTACATGTCCTGGAAGAGCGAGTCATTATTCTGTATGTGCCCCTGAAAACTGGAGGCACCATCCAAATGCTTCTGCCTCCACCTATGCGTAATGGTCTGGTACCTCAGCCCTGGTCCTGGGTCACCTAAAGAGACAACACAGTCCCCAAGTCCGGGGCTGGCAGATCTGCCAAACATTTGGAACGGCGGCAGGGGGTGGGGGATGAAGCAAAGCCAGGCTGTCAACCCACAGGCTCTGGACTCCACGCTGCAGCAAGCAGTGGCACTGCGTGTACAGGAAGCTGATGCAGAAACTAAGGAAATGTGAGAGAAAATCAAGGTGTACCCATCACCTTGATGTCCAACAGACTCGGCTAGGCTAAGGCTCTCTGCCGTGTACTTCCTATTACCTGGCTCATGACAGCTTCCCTGCTCAGTGTCTTAATTAAGTCCCTGGTTATTCTTTAGAGGACCTATATTTTTTTCTGCTGACTAGGCACAGAGATTAAGGTGCAACTTGGCTGACTGAATATAGTCCTTCATTTCTCAGAGAAATATTATTTGAATGTATGCACTGAAATGCATCAAGTGAATGAAACCTAATGGGAAGCTGGCAAAGAGATCTCTGCCAGGAAATTCTGGCTGTTATTTCATCCCCGACAGCAAAGCCCTAATTTTGCTTTCATTCACACTGATGCAGCACCACGACTTTGCCTGACAGCATCCTGCTAGCTGCTCAGCCCCCTCATCTTCTGTGAAACCAGTGAGAAAAGAGAAAAAAACTCAATGCTTCAGAGAGGCAAGGTGTTCCTGCAACCTCTCCTCTCATCTAGCACAACAATTGCCAGGCGTTGCAGAACTGAGCCTTTGGACCCTTATCTGCAAAATACTGAATAAAATTCCTGAGACTGTTTGTGCCTTACCAGCCCTAACGGCAGTAGCTGTTGAGAAGACTCAGATACTTTTGAAAGTTTTGTCCTATCAACAGTCAGAAGCAAGGTGTAAAATTTCCAAATTGTTACGTCAAAACAGAAGTAGCTTGTTTTGTTGTTCAATAAAAAGTGAGAGAGGCTTTACTGACTAAAAACTAGGTCACATCTACACAGCTCTTTAGCTCCAGCTTTCAGGTCTAAGCACGAGGGCCATACATTAAGTATCATCTGAGCAAGGCTTGAAGGATTTGGCTCTTTCACCTAATCTCCCACTTCCGGTTACAAAACAAGTCTAGATTTTGCAAATAATACCTGAAGGCAGCGTAACAAATACATGGTTCAACATATTTTCACTAGCAAGCTGGCATGAAAATACGACGAGTGATTAGATTGACTGACAGCAGTTCTTTACTGTATGTAAACATTTTTGCAGACACCCCTGCTCTCGAATCACAGCCTGCTCTTTCCTACCACAATGGCTGGAATAACAGAATATCAGGGACTGCTTTCAACAGAGTCGTTTAAAACTAATACAGAAACCCTGCAGGCTTTAAGATTTTGCAGGACTGCAGGGCCTCTGTGCAAATCTCAATGGAAATTTTGTTTAAACAAGGTTTGTGTATTGGCCACATATCAAATTGATCCTGGGGAGAAATTTCTTCACTCCCAGCTCCTGCAATTGCACTGGTGAAATCCTTGGAAACTCGCACATCTCAGGTAGAAAACGTCATGCACGCCCCGCAAAGCTTTCTGGTGGAGACTGACCTGTGCCTGAACCCATGCTAACTCCAGCCTCTCTAACCGCAGGCAGGGAAACCTGATGGATCTTTGGATGCTTCAGCTGGCTTTGGCTGGTGGAACTGCAATTGCTGAACATCTCGAAATAGCATTGCTTTGGCATCTGCTCAGGAAAGCACCTCATCACATAATGGCACGATTGCCCCACACTCGGCAGGTGTGTCTCCACACAAAGCCAAGGTGTGAGCTGAGCATGAGTAAGCATCCACGTGCTTGCACTCACCTAACTCGTGCAACAATTATGGCTATTAAAGGAAACCAGTTTATTGACTGCTTTTTGCAAAAGCAACAGTTTTCACAGATTCCTGCCCTTCCTGTAGCCTTCACCACCTCCTCCTCCTCCCCCCCCCACTGCAGGTTTCTGCCTCCTGGTACCACACAGCTTGGCAAACATGCAGTTACTTATTACAACAAGAGGGCAGGACAACGTTTGTCTTTACCGTTCAAAACGACTACTGGCGATGTTTACTTATCTGCCATTAGGAGGTGATGGTATATACCAGTAACCAGTCCCACATCTCCACTGTGCTGGTCCCCCATGACTGGTATCAGTCCCTCCTGCGGTGCAGCTTGCTAAGCAATACACAGCGATGCCACGCGTGCAGCTGGTATGAGGCACGTGCAAACATCCTTTCCTGAACCAGGAAGGTTGGGAGCAGTAGAGGTCAGGCTGCAAGGCAAAGTCAGTGTGCACAAACCTATATGAACACGTTGTCTTTCTGTCCCGCCTCTCGGAGAGGTCACCGGCCGATCTAAGCATTAGCTGTTTGCAAGCTTTCCGTATTTCTCACTGTAACTTCACATCCTCTAATATCTCACTTCTTACGTGGGGAACAGCTTCACAGGGCAGGAATTCAGCTTTAGGTGCAAGAGCAGAACCAGTTTTAGAGGCTCTCTCTGTTACTGCCGTGCACATGTTGCCACCTCTGCCCCCTCCGCCGTGCCAGGACAATTGTTTAGAGATGCAATTCCACAATCAATTGCAGGAGACCAACTGTAGAGAAAATAAATTGCAGCACCGGGCTTACACAAATGAGCAAGAGCCCTCTTAAATCAGGGCTCTGGCACTAGCAGAAACACACCTGGAAACACCACTCAGAAAGCTGCTGTGCTGTGAAACCTGGCAGGCCAGAAACACAACTCAGGACTTGGGTCCTGCTGGACATTAAGACCCATGTTCTTGCTTTATTTTCAACAAAAATCATGCTGACACTGAACTAGGCGAGGAAGGTTGTGAGCGGGACGGTATGATTTTAACATCTTGTGTCCTCTGGGGACAGATCCACTTCTGTGGGACCCTGTGCATGCTCTTTTATTGCCAGAAAATAACCTGAAACACTGGGACTAGACGAAAGAACGGAAAACAAACTTCCTATGATTGCATATATGAAAAATGTAATCTTTTCCACCCCATTCAAAAGCATCCCTCTTCAGAAAAACTTTCTTCAACTCAAGAAAGTCAGTAGGGCTTACAAAGTACACGATAAAAGTTAAAAAAGGATTTATAAATGCTGTCCAGAGTAAGGCCTGATTTAATCACACACGGAAGTGATTTCCTGAATCAAGCCCTTGCAAACTAAGCTAGTACCATGTTATTCTATGTAAGGCAACTATGCTTTTCATTTGGTATTATGTATGTTGT